CACTTTCTTTCGTTATAATTACAAATCTCCTTCTGTTGAACGACGATTGTTGATAGGAAATCGGGAAAATGAAATTAAAGTTTTAATAAAAGTTATTAATTCAAATAGCATTCTCAAACTCTTAGAGCTTTATAAATTGAATTATTTTAATTTTAAGAACAATTTTTATTAAAGGTAGTTTAACACGAGCATCGCAAACTTTTTTATTATTATTTAAGTTGAAAATTATTTCTATTTCAGCGATTACTTAAATTCCTATTATATATTACATTATAATTAATTCATAGGACATTTTTAAAAAAATAAGCTTTTTGAAGGATTATCGTAACTAGTTTACTTCTAAAGGTTTAAACCATTAGAGAAATACAGAACGTATAGCTACATCTCATGCCATAATTAATTTAATTTGTTACACCCCTGAAGGCAGTTTGGAAGCAAGAAATATCGAAAACTTCACAGTGTGGTTTACGGCTGACGAACACGGTATCTTCCACACAACAACCTGGATATACTGACACAACAACATACGAAAGAAATACTTTTTATTTCGTTAATTTCGTTCCTTAAACCCCTTCCGTCTGGAAACCGTAACTCGCAGATGACCATTCCAAGTTGATGAAGAATTATCATCTACCAGTTTTAGTTTATGCCCTAGAAATTAATTCATAGCGAATTTAAAAAAAAATTTAGGTTATTGAAACATTATCGTAAGTAATTTATCTTTTAAAGGTTTATTAAAAGGTTAGAGGTTATTTCATTAACTTCTAAGGTTTATTAAACTCTAATTTAGTTTATAATGGCAAAGCACACTAAGGCTATCTGCATAAGGGAAGGGATGTCTTCATAAATAACTTTCTAAGGGTAACTGGGTCGTATACACGTTATACATGGGGTAAACCACGACAGCGCCCATGCAGCCAGCCCGTTCGCTAGGAATCGAAGCCAGATGAATACTTCGGGTGTTCAGGAATTTACCGCTCGGCCGCTGGTGGGTTCGCTCTAAATGTAAATTGTAGGCTAGGGGGAGTTTGGAAACAAGAAATCATTGAAAATAACCGATGGCATTACCTTGAATCGAACACGAGATTTTTTAGTTAACAGAATGGATATACTGACCGTTACAATACAAAAGCACATGGGACGCATTACAACTTAAAAATTTCGCTCTCTGCTTTTTAATTTTGTTCGACCTGCGCAAGGATCCAAATATTTTCATTTTAAGACTAAAATATATGTCTAACATTTGATTATTTTATAAAATATTTTTCAAGTTACCATTTCCGGAGTATAACACTGATGAGTAATTTTAAATTAATAGAAATTAGAAGACTTCTTAAATTAATAGCAATAAGGAGTCTTCGCCCCCTCAGTTGTTTCAATCCTTGCAAAGAAAATAAATAAATTAATTAACACCCAAGCCCTACATGCAGTTCATCTTAGTTACTGAAATTCCAATGAGTATTAAATGACGCAGAAATATATTTAATATTTTATATAACAATAAGGTATTTGTAAACCGACAATTATTCCAAGTATAAAAAATGATAAAAAGTGCACTGATGGGCATTAGAAATAACGACAGAAACACGATTTTATGCCTCATTGTTTCGAAATGGCCGTGTCAAAATCCATGACGTGACGGTAAAACTACATTTGGAAATGATCACCTGATTTCCAAATCAAGTCAAAAGTAATTTCCAGCATCATCTCTAGTTGTGCTTCCAGTGTTTACCTGTCGGATGTGTTCCAACAAAGAACAGAAGCAAGTTCTACCAAATAAAATAAACTCTCCGCGAGCGACTAAACTCATGGCAGACAGACAGGCTTAGTGGGAGGAGGCGCAAAGCAAATAGAGTTTTCTAACACTCTTTTTTTCTCTGCCCTTCTAAAACCAAACCGCCGATCGTTAGGAAACTGTAACGTATAATCAAGAGGAGACCCTCTAATAAAAATAAAAAAATAAAAAAGTGACTCTCTCGACTCACAGGCTGTATTCTCTGGCATTCCCACGAAAGAACAGACCTCCCTCGCTTTCCAGAGGTGTGAAACTGCACTTACACGGTAAATACCTCTTGATCACAAAGCTTAAAATGAATGGTACTCGACCGTCCCCCCTCTCTCGGCATCAACAGGCACTCTAGCAAAACAAAGACCACTAAGCCGTAGCAACAATAGAAGGTGAACAATGTTGCATTAGAGAGCGGGCACAGCGCAAATGGCGATTCTCTTAATGACGATATAAAGTTAGGTGTCTGTTCTTCCCTTAGGTGTTGAGCAGGAAGGGAAAGGAAGACTTGGAGGGATTTCATAAATATTTTAATAAAGCTTTTTTTTCGCAATGTAATATTTATTTTGATCGCAAAGGCTTAGATTGTAATATTATTAACACGAGTGTTTCTTATAACATTGTAACTACACAGGATATTTACACATTTTTAAGATTTTTATAATGTTTTTTTTTTTTTTTTTTTTTTTTTTTTTAAAGAGAGGAAATCTTTTGGAATAAAATTCCTGCCAGCAGCTTATTATTTAAAATGAGAAATATTTCCTACTGTTTGAAAATGTATTTTTCTTTCAAAATGTCGCGTGTAAACGAGCTGTGGGTTGAAGGATATATTTTCGTGTATTCCAAAGAGAAATATTCCTATTCCATAATCCAAAAACTTTGTGAAATGCAAATTATTTGAGGTATTAACATTTCTAAATCATCATGTTACAATGCGTCGACAGGATTCGAACCTATGCGGGGAAAAGAATATGTAAGATAAAAAATATATGGATAAAAATTATAATTGAAACTAGCCGTAACCCCTTAATTTCTCCTCTCTATTTAAAAAATAGTAATAACTTTTCCATCTTGCATCACTAATCCATCTTGCATGGCTTGCACCTAATTCGGAACCTGAACTCAACATTTCGAGAACTGAGACTTTTCTAATCTAAACCAAAACCTTCTCTTGGTGAGCCTCCATGTTGGATAATTGCGCACTTCACTTCTACCTCTGTATTGCCCGGACGCTATTTCGCTGTGCTCGCAAAGTATAAAAAAAATTCTGGAAATATGCACGATTAGAGTGCGAAGTGGATTGAGGCGATAATGTTAATTGAAATAAAAATGAATATTTATTCTTACACGGCTACCAAGTTTCTTAGTTATTACGGGTTCAACGTTTTAGCATCCTACTCAATCAAAATTCTTCCTCTTCAGTAAGGATCTACGTTCTAAGCTATCTGCGTCTATGCATCAACAATGCTACGTCTTTTTCATCACACAGACATTGCAGTACGTAGGACACAGGATGCAATGCAATATGCAGCGGAGGTAATATAATATACAGTAATACAGTAATAATCACATATAGTGCAGAATTCATATGCATATAATTTACATAACGCAATACACAAATACACAGAACACTTTACGCAGGACACATATGTAATAATCGGAGATATTAGCATATTACGCGCACAGTGCAGTAGCGATAATAGTGTACAATCAGTGAAGCCATAGAGGTAATACGATGTGCAATAGAAGTAATGCAATATACAATGATATAAAGTGCAATAATAAGCAAATGTAATGCAATACTCATAAGCACAAAAGATACAAAAGGTACAAAACGTCAGGAAATGATATGCATGACGCATAAGTAATAAATTAATGCATTAGCATTTACGCGCGCAGTACAGCAGCAATAGTAGTGTACGAGCAATGCCGCCATAGAGGCAAGTACTTGTACAGGGTATACATACGATGCGATACGTATTAGACATACATAAAATACAATATGCTGTGATAAGCATATGTAAAGCAAGACTCATGCACAATTGATACAAATTGATACAAATCGCAATACACAGATGCGCAAAACGCGTGTGCTTAATATACGAAACACTATATACCGACACATAAAATACTATACCCATTGCGCATAAGTAACAGAGATATAAACATGTTACATACATTGCGCATTAAAACACATTACGCAAATTTCATTATACTCATAATTAAACATTACATCAACATAATTAAAACACCCAAATAAACATAATTACACATAATTAAACATTACAATGTACACATTACGTATTAAAATCAAATATAAGCATTTTCCGCGCACAGTGTTGTTGCAATAGCATAATTACAAATCAAATGGCAATTTCCAAAGTTTGGTTATTTCGTACACAGGCGCACATTTCAATCTGGCGATAAATTGCAGTCTGGCAATTATTGCAATCTTGCAATTTACAATAATAATTACATATACACATATACTGTAGTGCAGTACTCATATGCGCAAAATATACAAAAGGTACAAGAAGCAAAATGCAGATATGCAGGAGACGATATGCGTGACACATAAGTTATAATTCGGAGACATGAGTATATTACGAGCGCAATACAGAAGCAATAGTAATGTACATTCAGTGCTGCCATTGAGGCAAATACTTATTCAGTGACAGATGCATATAGTGCGATACACATTGGACATACACATAAAATAAATATGCTGTGATAAACACATATAACGCAATGCTGAAAACAAAATACACAGATGAACAAAACGCATGCGCTTAAGATACAAAACACTATACCCCAACACTTAAATTACTATACATAGTGCACATATGTAATAAACAGGGATATAAACATGCATGGCATATATCATGCTTAAAAAAAATTAACATATGATGCGCTAGGTCCGTTATGCACGTTTGTTGCACAGATTATAGCACAATTAGCGTAGCACAGTTAGCGTAGCTCAGTTAGCACAGGCACTCAGTATACTGCGGTTGAGGACTTCTGTGAAGAACGGCGATGGACGTTTTAAGTCGGGTGACAGACGTCTTGACCCTGTGTGGCTAGGTAGTTAACCATTTGGCAAATTTTATTCACCACTGCACGGTTTTTAACCGTGAAACGGAGAAAGGCATCGAGATCGGTGGTAGGCTCTGGAAGGTGCATGGCCGAGGTAAGAGGGCATGCGAACAGGTAGTGGTTAGGGTTGCCTTCTTGTCCGCATATGCAGATGTCTGTGGTAGTACGTGGGAAAGGGCCCATGCCCTGTTATAAACCTGGTAAGCGGCGGTATGGAGCAGAGTCGGCTAGTTGAGACTTTTGGTAGAAAAATGTGAGCGCGACGCCCCGTGTCGCAGCTGTCCCAGTCGCGTTGCCAGGCTGTAATGGTTGCTCGTGTGAGCTGTGACTTGAGGTAGGAGGATGGAGCTGGTAGGTTCACTTCTATGGCCTCATGCTTGGTGGCTGCCTCGTTGGCTTCATTGCCACCCATATGAGTCTTGCTGGGTTGGAGCGATGCTGCTGCAGTAGACTTTGAATGTCTTTGATGATTGGTGATGTATGTCTGTGATTTTTTTATGGCATGTAGTGTTGACTGGCTGTCAGTGCAAATTATGGGTGAGCGGTAGTTGAAGCGTGCAGCTTGTGCTATGGCCTTCAGGATGGCGAGTGCCTCAGCTTGGAAGATACTGTTATGTGGTTGGAGATGGCCCTTCCAGCTTGTGATGACTTCATTATGGTGGGTAAGAAGGAAGGCGCTGCCGACTCCTGCGTCCTGCTTATAGCCGTCCGTATAGTAGACAGGATGAGCGCTTGTGATATTTGAAGAGGGAGCTTTTGGGATGCTGATGATGACTCCTTTTCCTTTGTCACCTGGATGTTGTCTGCTGTGATGCCTTAGGTGTTCGTAGGAGGTGGGGCTGAAGGTGTGTCCATTAAAGGTGGCATCTTGTCTGAGTTGTAGTATCCTGGTGGTCGCTGCTTCCTGCGTGGCTCTGTGATAAAGGGGAGGAATGCCGGATAGTGTTAGTGCTGCGTATGTCGCAGTGGTTCGAAAACCTTTGCATATCATAAGCGCGAAAGGACGCTGGATAGTGAGTAGCTGTTTTTGCTTTCTGCCCTGCATTGGATTTGCCCAGATTGAGAGTTATATGACATGGATTAATGTCGAAATGACGCGGAAATGTGCGAAATATGAATCGTTTCATAAATCGGTGTTTAGCTTTATTCATTATATACAATGCCGGATCTCGACCGGTAACCTATACATCAACAGCCCGCCTACAATGATCGCTGTAGAGTTCTTTAATTCTAAAGAGATTTATTCTGCCGTTAATGCTTGTTTTCGATTACTTTTCGCAGCTTATTTATGAAATATACCTGGAAGAACAACGTGAAACGATACGCCAAACTTAAAACATTTCATTAGGAAACGGGAAGGAAAAAAAAATCTTGCATGCTACCTGATACTTTCAATTATAGCAGAAACCTGAAACCAAGATTGCTAGAAGAAAGGTAAGTACATGTTTAGAAGAGGGCAGGAAATACCTACTGGAAAGTGCATTGGGAAGAAAAACAAAATAAATACAAGTAGTATAAATTTTCTCTTTTACAAATGGTTTATCGAGGCAGTAATGATCCGTAAAATCGATCCATTCAAAATCGTAAAAAACATTTACGCATCCGAACACAGTTTCTCTCACGAACTGAGACTGGAATGCGAGAAGTTTACGGATAGTAATGGCCTTGAGCTCTCAACTGCAAAATAGCTTCGCTAAGTATTTGTAACCATATCACAGGTTTGATGACAAGAACAATTGTCTACTTTGAGATAAAATGCATTCGGTCAATGCTTTAATTTTAAAACAAAAACTAGAGGAAACTGTTAATGCAATGAGTGCGTCATTTATTCATTTGGGAAAATCAAAGTTTTAATTCTAATATAATTAGCCCAAAGGGGTGATTTGCCCAGAAGGGCTATTAATTTCGTTTTGGCATTTTGCGTCTGTTCACTATAAATGTCGGTTCGCTTTTCAAATTGTTTTCACCTAATATTCGAACTTTTTCTCGCCTAAAGCTTTCAGCAGCTCGGACTTTTTGTTGCTCTTTCTGGCTATGTAATGTGTGATTTATTTAAAGACAAATTTGCATATTAAAATTTAAAAGGCGAGAAATATTTTGTGTTATTTTATTATTATCATAGCGTGAACCTATTACAAAAAATTTTTTTCCAGTCTATGATAGCGTTTAGCAGGCCGCCCAACCGGCATTGGAGTAGCAAGCACAACTGGCGCTCGGGGAAAAATACCTTTTTGGCGCACCCCCTCCTGAAATAAATAAATAAATAAATAAACCAGTGATATGATGAAAATCTTGTTTGAAGAACATTTGGCGCCCGTCTGCGAGAGGCGCCCTGGGCATCATAAAACCTCTTGCCCCCTTAGCTAAGTCACTGCGAACCGGTATAGTGGTTAGCGTCGCTGACTGCCTTACGAAGAGCCAGGGTTCGAATCCCGGAGAAGGCAGGGATGTTTGTAAAAGTATAGTTTCCATGCGGTATGGGGTACTCAAAATATGCGGGGAGCCGAAAGTTCTCTCGAAAGGTTGGCGATAGGGGAATAGGGGTGGAAGACCCTCGGATACGTCCCCCACGGAGGTGCTCTCCATCAGAATTGGGGGCGGAACCGAGCTAAAATCGCACCGGGACGTGCAAGGTTCTCAAGGCTGTTGCCAACGACAAGCGTAATCTTGCACCACCTTTTAGTTCGAGAGCTATTTATAGAGTCCACAACAATTAGCATGATGTAAACCTGGTTAACAATCGCAAGTTTCACAAAAATAAACGGTTTGTCTTCTAGCCTTTTGGGTTGAAGAGATAAAGCAGTTTTTGCTAACACTATCTAAATTTCCTGACACGTTTTCATCACTTTCACTAGAATCACTATATTGCAATAGTTCTCTTTCTTCACTGATGGAATAAAGTCACTGTCGTCAGAATCACTTTCATATTCATCCTCACTAAATTCATCATCACTGCTATCTTGGAACAACGCTTCTTAAATCAAATTTTTCGCCATGGTGAATAGTATTTCTTTTATATTTATCGGTCAAAAAATGACTAAATACCAAATTCAACGAAGCATTAAATCACATAAAAATAAAATTTAGCAGTGAATTACAATCGTGTGATCTTCAGTGCAGTACATTATTAGTGTGCCTGAGAGACGCATTTCAAGTACAACGCCAAGATTTGGCAGTTTTGTTCGCCAGTTTTGTTGCATTTTCTTAAACTTAAACTTGATGTGTTTAAAAACTGATTAACTTGAAATTCCTACTTGTGTCTGATGTTCCTTTTTGATTTTTTTAATTGTATTAATTTTTTTAAGATTATTTAGATTTTGTAAATAATATTACAAAAATTAATTATACTTTTACAAATTTTAAATTAGGAAATCGGAAATTATTTTTTGATTAATATTCCTTATATTTAATTATGTATTTCTGTCACCGATAAAAACCTCTCATCAACAGCAGAGAGATAAAATTGATAAACCTTGGTAGCTCAGCTTGAGTTCGATTCCAGATGAGCCGGCTGACAGCATTGTCATTTTCGCGTTTTTCCTCATGTGTAACATGGATACGAGCTAGTTTTCCTTAAAAAATCGTAAACGAAAGCATCTTCTTTAGACTGATAGCCTCGCATGCTTTGCTGTAATTAAATAAAGCCACCCCCCCTTAAAAAAAAAAAAAAAAAAAAAAAAAAAAAAAAAAAAAAAAATCTGAAAGGTTTCAGATTTTAAATTACGTAAAAAGAAGCGTTTTTTTAACGTTTTGTTTGTTACCTTTATTTACTAAATATCATGTTCTTTGCACTTAAACCATGAAATTCAGTTCAAGAGCAATATCGCAAAAAATTTTAAAACGAGCTTAGAATTTCCGATAAACAGTCTAACGCGCTGGAGATAAAAAACATTTTTTTTCCCTCAGTAGAGCTCCATTGCTCGCTTTTAAATCGTTGAGTTTTGTTACTCAAAAATTCGTTAAAGTTTTACAAATATAAAATCGATAATAAAACAAATTCAAAATTTTAAATTCGGTCTTCCACATGCCCATATTCGTAGGAGGATTACGTCATTCAAAATTCGATGGCTCTGGGTACCGTTGTTTTATCAGAATGCGAGAAATATGCAGATTATGATGCAAATACACTTATGCAGATTTTTCATTATTTAATTTCTTCAAATATAATGCAGGATTCTAACATTCGGCGGCAACAGTTTGAAAATTGAAACGGACATTCATAAGGATTCAACGCAAAAAATCGCAAAACCAAAACAATAGTCCTCCAGGGACAAAGCTCCTTTGAGCTACAAATATGAAATCTTTCAGATTTTATATTACGTCCAAAGGAACTTTTAACGTTTTGTATGTTACCCTTATTTATTAAATATCACGTTCTTCGCACTTAATCATAAAATTCAATTCGCAATATCGTAAAATATTTTAAAATGAGCCTATTTATAGAATTTCCGATACACAGTCTCGCGCGCTGGAGATAATTTTTTTTTTTTTTTTTTTTTTTTTTTTTTTTTTTTTTTTTTTTTCCGCAATACAGTGCTGCCGTGGCTCGCTTTACAATCGTTGATTTTGTTAATTAAAAATTCGTTAAAGTATTACAAAATAGGAAATCGATAATAAAAAAAATTCCAAATTCGGGTTTCCAGATGCCCACCTTCAGGTGGAAACGTACGTTATTCAAAATTGGATGCCTCTAGATACCGTTGTTCCATCCCAATGCGAGAATATACATACATTTATGCAGATTCTTCATGATTTAATTTCTTTAAGTATAATACAGGGCTCTAATATTGGGTGACAACACTTTGAAAAAGTGAACCAACATTTATATAAATCAACATAAAATGCCGTAACGAAATTAATAGACCTTCTGGGGAAACGCAATTTGGGCTAAAACAATTGTCATTTATGAAATATATTTTGCAAAATGTATAGAGTCATTAGAATATATCGATACAAGAACTTGTAAAGTGTGCAATGCCCTTGCCCTGATTCGAACTTAGGACTTTCCGAATACTCATCGAGCTTGCTTCCAGTTACACCACGATCGCATGCAGAAAAGAGGAAGAAAATACCTTGCGTACTCCATCTTTTAAATAGCGCATGGGGGATTAGGGGACCCATTATTAACATCCTGGTGGTGACGAATTATCGCCCACTATCTTTAGTTCGGATGCCACTTATAGAGTCATTTAGAATTCTTCAATGTTAGGATAAATGGAGGTACCAGCAGTGCTATCGCTGGGATTCGAACTCCGGAATTTCTGAATACGTGCCAAGCGTGCTTCCAGTTACACCACAAAGCTACGAAGAAAGGAGGGAGAAAATACGTTATAAATGATAAGACAATCATTTTAATTAATAATTTTTCCTACGCACCTTTTCATTATTTAAATTATATATGTGTAGTGATATCTCTCAGTGGATTAATGGCCAGAATGAGGCAAAACGTATTGGATTAATAATTGCAAACCCTCACTATTTTGCAGTTTAATTGTTTAGAAAACATAAATGGCTTGAAGAATGGAAACGGGCAAATCTCAATCGACAAAGAAATGACACCTTTCGAAGAAGTGACGAAGTCTTTCGAGACAGTGAGTCTCGCCTGAACGGCAAGATTGTATGCCGCATGATCGGCAGTACAGGATATCATTGACCAGCAGGTGTTTTTCATAGATATTTATTGTCATATTCAGAGCTCTTGAAAAGAGGCAATTCGTTCTCATGCTAAGAAAGGAAAGGATAAATTAGGATTCGGGTATTCGATGATGGCAAAGCACGAAATAGCTTTGTCTAAGTGAAGAGATGCCTTTGTAGTGCACTCTTTATAAGAAACTGCCTCTTGATCATTTCTCACATGGAGAAAGCCATGTACTACACAGTCGGCCCGTTCGCATGAGATCAAACCCAAATCGAACTACCAGTGTTCGGCGGTCTTAGCCACTCGGTCTCTTTTGGGGTCGGATAAATTAGAAATAACCGCAAAGAATTTAT